TAACATGGGTGGCACCTCTTTGGATTGGAACCACACTATGTTTTTAATTCATTTTCTTAATTGAGGTGACATCAGGACCCCTCCACCCCAATCAAGTTCTGCTGCTTAGAGCACCCACCACCAAATCGCCCATCATCCACCACTGTTCTTCCCTCATTCCCTCACCCCTCCTCCAACCTCCTCCCCGCTCCCCATGCTTCAGTTCTACAGTCCACTTCAAGGGCTAGTTTTTAAGCTTATCTTTGCCTGACCCTTAGCTTGGTTTCTCCACATTCCACGTATTAGTGACACCATCCAGTATTTATCTTTCTCCTGACTTATTTCACTTAGCATTAGTCCTTCCATTTCCATCCATGTTGCACAAATGGCATGAATTTGTCTTTAAAGATTGCTGAATGATACTCCATTGCACATATAAATCACATCTTCTTGATCTACTCCCCTATTTTAGAGCCACTGTAGTTCTGAAATGGGTGGTTACAAATGCCTGGAAGCTCACAGCCAACATGGTGGATGTTGGCTCATCCACCCAGAGCCCTGGGTGGATGAACTGAAACAGAGAGATCTACAGAACCCAAACAGGGCCAGATCAAATACCACAGAGCAGCACAGGCCCAGAAAGCCCTCGGAGCATGGCGGGGAGACAGGACTTGCATCATCTGAGGGGTCCTCTAAAGAAACAATCCCCTCAGTCTCCCAGGGCTCTGATCTGCTCCTGGAGAGTTCCGTTTCCCTTGAAAAGCCATGATTTGACTGACAGGCAAGGGACAGTGCAGATGGACCTACAGGTGCTGTGGTGGTGGGAAAACTATGAGGCCTAGATCTGTGGGGAGAAACCAAATATTGTCCACAAATTAACAAAAAAACAAAATAAAATTAGGAGTTTAGATGTTCCCAGCCAGGATGATTAAATGCAACGGGAAAATCTAGGGACTGAAAAAATAAAGCTTTGAATGACAGCCAATCAGGAGAGCTTTCATACTGATACTATAGATGGGCACAGCTTTCTAGAAGGAAGGTCAGGTTTACGAACCTCTCTGTATAAATGCATACTGCATTGCATCTCATTTTAATAAATCTAAATGGTAAAATAAATTGTTTAGTTGTATCTGAACTCTGTTCAACTAGGCATACAGAGGAAGGGAGTCAAGTGCCAGAGGAGGGAGACTCATGCTCACATACGGGAATTATCGCCCCTATTTGCTAACTCCAGCTTAGCACAGGGCCCCTTTAACATCCTTTCTTGTCTAATTTTTCCATTCTATTTTCCATAACTCATACTCACATGAGAAAAACACCAACATAGTGTTTGGTAAATCCTCTCAAACTTAGAGAATGACACTATAAATCCTTCCTAACAACAGTGCCATTTAAATACAGACTGTTCTTCCATGGGTAAGGACACTCAAGCTTCTAATAGAAATGTTTACCCAACATAACCTGTTGTAATTTGATTAGCAACACTATTAATACAGGTGTCCTAACAGGACTGTGAGTAGCCTCTTCATAGAAGCAAATTTCAATGCTAAGAACCATGAGTATCAAGGGAAGAAGGGGTCCACTTTGAACATGAGGATGATTATGATAGAGATCTGCAAAGCATCCAAGCATTTAGACATTAGCAGGAGAGCTGATGACAAGATCCGTGAGCCCGTTTTCAATCAATAACCAGTGCAGTAAAAACATTTTAAAAACGTCCTAATTTTTTACGTTTATTGCACACTAAATGCTACAGTAGAATAAAACAAACATCACATTATTAAAAATGAGTCAACAATAAACACAAATGGAATATCTTTTGTAGCTCATCTTGTTCTTATTCTTGGATACAACATCCCACATCATGGCCATTGATCATCCACAAACTGCAGTCCAAAGGAAGTATTTTTTTTTTTTAAAGATTTATTTGTGCATACAGAACTAGGGTACAGGCCAGAGGCTCAGGGGTGGCGAGAGGATTCACCAGAGACAGAATGGGGAGCAGAACAGGCAGATCAACGAAGTACACTGCTGAGGGGAGCAGCGGGCGGGTCAGGAGAGGTCTGCCACGCCATGTGGTCACCTCCGGGGCAGGCAGGGATCGAACTCATGCGGAAGCGGCTTTAGCTTCTCAGTGCTATGCTTTAACCCACTGCGCCACCAGGGAGGGCCCAAAGGAAGTATTTTTATAAATATAGTTTTATCGAAACAGTCACACTCATCCAATGACATGCAATCTAGAGCTGCTTTTACGCTACGGTGCCTGAATTTCACAGCAACTATCTGCCTCATAACGCCTAGAGTATTTACTATCTGGTCCTTTACAGGAAAAGTTTTCCAACTCCTGATCTAGAGTTTCTGAAAAAAGGAAATATTAAAAAAGACCCACTTTGTCCTTTTTATTTAAAGTTGATTATGATCTACATTTTACTGCAATATCTACTGAAGAACTGAAAATTCTCCAGCTGAGGCATTAGGAGACCTCTGCTTGTGGACAGATGATAAAAGTTCTGACAAGTCATCGCAACTGGGGGTAGCATTCAATATTGTACTCTATATAGTCACTTAACTATATAACTTCCCTCCACCAGCAAATTAGCCACCAAATTAAGCATAGTGCATTAGCTGGAACATTTACCACACTGGAGGTGTGGATAATCTCTTAATGGTGTAAACATCATTCCCGCATAAGAAACACATCAAGGTGCCCTATGGTGTCTTCCCTCCTCTAGGGCAGATATTCTAGCACTGGGGTTCACAGACCTCTGGAGGACCCTGAGTTATGCACCCATGGTACATAATTTGGTGAACCAATAATTTCCAAGTGACAAAAGCTGGCTACCAGAAAATCATCTGTGGGTAACATCCAAGTAAACAACAGACCAAACAGACTTAAATGTAACAAAATACAAAATTGTGGTTTCAGAATCCACATTGCAACTGGCCTATCACTTGTCGAGGAATGGAAAAGGATCAAAGAAAAATCCAGTTATGTGAAAAAACTATTAAAAATATTCCCATTCCTGGCCCTCCCTGGTGGCGCAGCGGGTTAAAGCACAGCACTGAGAAGCTAAAGCCACTTCCACATGAGTTCGATTCCCGCCTGCCCCGGAGGTGACCACATGGTGTGGCAGACCTCTCCTGACCCACCCGCTGCTCCCCTCAGCAGTGTACTTTGTTGATCTGCCTGTTCTGTACCTCGCTCTGTCTCTGGTGAATCCTCTCACTCTCCACATCTCTGGCCTGTACCCCAGTTCTGTATGCACAAATAAATAAATCTTTAAAAAAAAATATTCCCATTCCTAAGTATACACCCACACAGGGTTAGTTAGATTTTCTTGACTGTCAAAACAACAAATGCTGCAGAAGCAGATATGAGAATCCAGTTGTCTTTTATTAAGTGAGAAATCAAAGACATCTGCAGAAAGGTACAGACATCACTCTTCCGGCTGACTGCTTTTCATTTTGGAAACAAAGATTTTTTCATAAAAATGGAATCTATAATTATGTATAGCATACAATTATTTATAGTATTTTTAAAGGAATTAATAATTTTAAATTTCTCATCTGATAAATACCAAAGGCCACGACCCACATAAACAAAAGCTCAATCACTCTTAAGATTAAGGGACCAACATCTTTGACACCTAATACTGAGGGCATACTATTCCTATCTTGTCTCACACAGTTTTTTGTTTTTATTAGGCAAATACCTAAAAAGTAAAATATTTCCCTTTTCCTCCATTTACTTTTCCATGAGCTACACAGAATCTCCCTTGTTGAAACGTATGAAGCTGTTCTCATATTCCAGAAGACACAGCTGTATAGAGGAGGAAACTTCCTACTCCACAAAGACAAAGAAAATCTAAGCTTCAGCCGTGGGCTCAAGGCACTTCAGGCTACAACTACAGACGAGGCTGGACCTGATTCACTGTCCTCCTTAGACCTGGGCTGTGCCGCAGGACTTACATCCATCTAACCTACTTTACTTTGCCAAGTTCAATCAGCTAGAACTCGTTAGAGACCCCGCTGCCATTCTGGATTTCCTACCCGGCAGGTGGAAAATCATCTGAATGGTGTCTTGGGGGTGAAAGTGCTGGTGATTAAGAAGAGGTGGCCCTGCCATGCCTACACTCTGAATGAACACAAGGGACCACTGGAATTCCAGATCCCAGTCTCTCAAAGAGACAAGACTTACTGGGTGGAGTTACTTGTGAGAGAGATGACATGTGCCCACTTAAAATAAGCAGCAGCATATCCAGGGTTCAAGCAGAGGCCAGGGTAACCGGCCAGAAAAGACACTGGGGGAGAAGGGAGAAGGGAAAGGGGGCAGGGAGGTGAGTCAAGGCTCAACTTTGTCAAAGAACAAAAACTTAGCTAGGTCTGCCCTTGATCTGCCCTTGCAGCGAGAAGAAGGAACTAAATGAAGCTTTTCTGTGCCACCCAAGCACACTAACCACAGCACAAAACCTGTCAGTCAGCATCTTAAACCCTAAAATTCGCTCTTCTATATAACCTGCATCGAGCTTCACAGTTTTATTAATATTTTCATAAAGCAGATATTGGCAAGCTGATTTCTATGTGCCTACATCACACAGGCACACAGAGCTGATTCATCTCCAATTCATAAAGGAATTGTCAACTAAAAGTCAGCTCATAAAATTTCCTCCTAGGAAAAAAATGTTCCAGATGTCAATTAGGTAAAATAGCACTGTATTTTACATACAAGAGAGATTAAACAGACATGTGAACTGGCATAAGAACCTAAGGACTGCAATGCTTTCACAGCAAAATTCAGCATATTTTTTAATGACAAGCTCTGCATTTGAGGAATATACATGTCTTCCTATCATGAACCTTCATAATGATGAGCACAACTGAGACTATTACTTGTAAGATAAAACCCACAGATTCCTAAAGTTCCTGATTCCCCTTCTGTAAGTATTCACTGATGATATATCCATCCGTAAGTGCCAATGCAGTTCTGCTAGCAAAGTTAGGAGAAGAAAGAAATTGCTTACCTGTGGTCAAGATGACTGAAGTCTTGTAAATTCAGTTCCCTGGTGTCTTGTGTCAGATAAATCGTATCCACATCCTATTCAAAACAGAATTCCACTATGTAAATATTCCAAACAGATGCTCACATAGGTAACAGAGAAGCAAAGAGAACATTGCAAAGGTGTATTTTTATGTAATTTGAATATGGAAAATTTTTAACAAAAAAAAAAAAAAAGAAGAAGAAGAAGAGAAGAAGGAGAAGAAGAAAAAAATGGTAAGGAAAAACAAAGAGAAATAAGCCCATGAAATTATGAAATTTTCTCCAGGTGTGTATATGTGTGGTTCTTTATGTAGGAGCACATGTAACTACTTACCCACTGTACTTCTTCCCTGTATGAAAATCCAAGCCAGTCACAAACACAGGCATACATTTGAGAAAATCCACCTAAAATCCACACAGAACAAAAATGTGACAGGTTTCAGTTCAAGGGTTTTGAAGTTCAAACTGAAAAACTTGAATATGGCTGATGTTGACAAAGCCGATCATTCTTTCCAGTTGGGAAAACAGCAAAGCTTTTTCTCCCCTGCTCTATAGTAAGTACATAGCAGGAGGCAATACTGCTTAAATATAGGACTTTTGTCCACCGATCTGAAGTCTGTGCACTGCAAATTACACCTTAAAACTAATTGTACCTTTACAGTAGCATGCTAGAAATAGACTTTACTTCCTGGCACGGGGACAGCCACGCAACCATTTACATTTTGGTTTTCAAATGTATGCTCACCACAGGGCCCCTGCTCAGGCACAGTCTGGCTGTCCCACAGAGCCTGGAGACTGGCCAGCCGCTCAGCTGGCTCCATGGAGACTTTCTTCATGATTCTCCTGCAAGATCAACAACAATAGTAAATTTCAAAAAGCCAGATTTTTTTAAACTGTAGATGGTTATTTTGGGATATGACTTTGTTAAAATGAAGATGGTTGTCCCTTAAATTCTGTAAGTATAATTCCATTTTATGAACACCAGGACCTAGAAATGTATGGAAATTTAATAATAAACACCTTTATTTACTCTATTTATCTCTTTATTTTACTGAGGTAACAGTGGTTAACAACAATGTTTATGATTTCGGATGGTAGGCTCACATCTTCAACCATAAACCCATTTACTTAATTTCCTTTTATTTAACTACCTTTCATACACTAACAGTATCCAGCCATGTAGCCTCCATATGGCTGTTTCACAATGTTGGATGTCATTGGAATAGTTAGAAAAGAGTTATGTACGATGGAATATTATTCGGCAATCAAAAAGGATAGACCATGCCCTTAGCAACAACATAGATGGAGCTGGAAGAAATTATGCTCAGCAAAATAAGCCAGAAAGAAAAATAAAAATAACCAGTGGTCTCACTTATAGGAAGAAGTTAAAAAAAAAAGAGAGAGAGAATCAGAAAAGAAAAAGTTAAAAAAGTAAAAATCAGAATCACCAGGCAGCTATAGATTACAGATATTCTATAGGGGGGGAAGGGGACAAGGGTCGATGGTGAGGGTACATAGGTGAATTAGTGAGAATTTCATGGAAATATCATACATTATAAAAAAAAAGAAGGATGAATAATGACTACATTAAAAAAAGAAGAGTATGTTCTATTTAATGAGCGATTACAGTATGTGTATACTAACTACAAATCACTAATGTTCAAAGATTATAAATGTACAAATCTCATCTTCTGTCTTTCCAGAGCACCCCATAAAATACCCATGAGGAAGCGAAGCATTCCCATTAAAAAAGCGGTTCTTTTACATATCTTTGACCTGGACCAAGAATCCCCTGGGACAGAGCACATGGCCAACTAACCCTCTCTTGGCCCTCATTCTCATCCTCAGAATCTCACAAAGTCCCTGCCCCCTACCAAGCCCAGAGAGGGGAGAGCAGAGTGGTTAAAAGGAAGAAGGCAGAAGCCCCAGTTTCATTATGCAGAGAACAGGAAAAATATGGAGTAATTGCAAGATATTAATCCCATCAAGTTAAAAGAACAATGCCTGGTGCCTGTAAAGTCCCAATACCTGTAGTTATCAACAGGACTCACTTAAACAGCAACTTATGAATTCATTGATTCACTCCTCTCCCAAACTGCACCAAATGTCACTTTTCACCAATACTGTTGCCCAGTAGGAACAAACAGATAGGGTTCCTGTCCTCACTGGGCTAGCAGGTCATTATGAAACCAGCATGAGAGAGAAAGCAGTGAAGGAGGAAAGGACAGCAAAGGAAACACGAAACCTCTTCTCTGGTGGGGAAGGAGGGCCTAGAAGAGTGGGGAGTTTGGAAATGCTCTTTAGAACATTACAGATTCATGTTAAGATCTGCAGGAGAGGGGCCTCCCTGGCAGTGCAACGGGTTAGAGTGCAGCAGCAGGAAGCTACCACAGCCACTGCAACACCAATTTGATCCTTGCCAGCGAGCCAACCCCCAGGGCACAGCAGACCTCTCTTGTCTCGCCCGCTGCTCCCCTCAGCAGTGTATTTCGGTAGATCTGCCCACTCTGTCTCTGGTAAATGTTCTCACCCCCACAACTCTGGTCTGTACCCCAGTTATTGTATACATAAATAAATCTTTTTTTTAAAAGAATTTTTAAAAGAAGGTCTGAAGGAGTAATGAAGTTAATAGGGTTGGGGCATGGGTGGGGAAGGTTAGCAGGGAGCAGGGAGTGGAAAACAGTTGGAAACTGTAACCTATGAGGGGGAGAGGGGTAGGAGAACCGTCTGGGGGGAGGGGGGCGCTAAAGAGGTTGTGAGGTTGTGGAAAACCTCAAAGGTCAAATTAAGGATTTTATACTCAGGGCACTGAGGAGGCACAGAAAGACACAACAGGAAGTCTGTGATGACTGGCTAGGCCCAGTCAACAAATATAAGTGGTAAAGGGCTTTGGAAATAATGATGAATAATTTGGAGCATTATCTGTAAAGGGCCCAACGAGAGAAAGACACGCAGCTCTGATGAGCAGGGAAGTTACCCTGCAGTGCTCAGCTGCGGCTGCCCAAAAGTACAGAGAAAGAGCGGGCAGGGTGCAGCTCTCCAGGCTGGGTGCAGCTCTCCAGGCTGTGGAGCCAGAAACACAGAGGAGGCCAGGAGGAGCTGTGCATTCAGAGGGGGCTGCCTGCAGTGAGGGGCAAGGTGGTCAGGAAAACAAAGGGAGGCAGGAGGGAAGTGCCAAGTGGAGAGAAAGTACAAGGGTTAAAGACTGGCCACAGAGTGATGACTAAACCGTGATTTCACCCCTCTGGAAGCTGTTCCAGGGGATGACAAGGTCTGGGTGTGGCCATCAAGGGGTGAAGAGGGGGAGAGTGGGGAGAACCACGGTTGATTAGTCCAAGTCATCCAGGACCCTGGGGACACACTGCATGCAGCATGGTACAGGAAACATACTAAGTCACAGTGAACGGATTTTAATCCTTAATGATTTAAAAGCACGTCTGATCTTTTGCATGCCCTCAGTCACCAGGAATTTCAGCCACCTGGTAGAGCTTTAAAAGAAAGTGTTGCCAGTTATTTCTCTTTCCTATTGGATGGAATCCAGGCAAAATATGCTGGAGCCTGACCAGTTGCCTAGTTGGCTAGTTCTACTCTGGAGAAAACCTCAAATACATACCAAAAGCATTTAAATACAACTGTTCGGTGAGTAACAAAAATAGTCGTACTACTTGGCAATCTTCACGAGAGAAGCCTAATCAGGTGTGACCAACTGATGTCAAATGTCATTAATTCCTTCATATGCTTTTGTAAATATGAGAACATGATTTTTATCTCCTTGAAAGCAACTATGATTAAGTGCCATCATTCTAAAAATCCATCATTTGAGGGAATTGTGGATTTCAGAAGCTGCTCACAATGAAAATGATATCCTACAATCCGGCAATCTGGGATGATTTGTTTTAGATAAGTGCTATGACTCTGGTATTTTAGTGACATTGTGTTCTGGCTACATGACAGTGAAGCCAGATATTATACAAAGAAATAACAGAGCTGTAGGAAACAGACCCAAGCATTTCCACAGGTGAAGATGAGCAAACCTTAAACACACCAATCAGACATGTGTCTGATTCCACGTGAGAGCCCATTTCTCTTCTAAAATTCTCGCTTTATTTCCACAGCACCACAGAGTATCCATTTCAGTGACAGCCAGGATGTAGTTAAGCGATGCAAAAGCAGGAAGACAGGCAAAAATCTTAGGCAGGAAGCTGGTAGGACTAAGAGGACATTGGTAGTTCAGAGTGATAGAAGAATTAAAGTTATGGCCAATTCAGAGCCCAAGGCCTCCGTTCCATTCTCAAACCACAATGATCATTGTTATTCAGGGCGAAGGGGAAATCAACTGGAGAAGGAAGTCACAGCAGGTTACAGATGTCTGTGAGAACAGAGCCCCTCTGTGAAGACTTATAACTGCATAATGTAAAAAGTGGAGGTCCCATGTTCCTGCCCCACCTATTTACAGCTGAAGTTGAGTGGCAACAGGAGGTGGACATTTGGGGAGAAAATTTGGAGGAGGCACATAGAGCAGAGACATGTGAAGAAGAAACCACACTTGCTTTTTGGCCTTGGACTTGCAGCAGAAACTGGGGGACATGGAAGGAGACACGTGGAAGAGACAGGGACATGGGTGAGAGACTGATGGGAGGCTGACAATGACAGTGTCTCTGGACTTATACTTTGGTTTTATGCTTTTCCTTCCAGACTCGTCTGGCTCCTTCTGTCCCTACCCTATGGGCCCCCGCCAGAAGGAACTTTAGGCTTCAGGCAAGTTTCTGGGCTACAGTGACCCCGCTTTGGGCCATTTTCCCACAAAGCGTCTGGAGAACTGGGTGTTTGATTGGAAAGCTATATACTTTGTCTGTCCACACTCGCTAATTCTATACAGGTCTTTTCTATTGAAGTTCTTACACACTAAGTATGTTTGCCTTTATGTGAGAGTGGATGGCAGAATATATTTAGAGCATGTAAGCCTGGGGCTCCCGGGGGGGGGGGGGCCTCAGTCTGCCCACTAAAAGGGGTACGCCTGGCATTTTCCCAAATCTTCAAAAATACTCTGCAGAAGGGTTGATCTGAGCTCTTCCAAGTAGTTCCATTTCTGTAACAGTTCTAATGGCTTCTTTCTAAGGAACTAAAAAATTTCAGATTTCAGGAACCAAAGGACACCCAAGAAACAAGTGTGTTCATTTACATATGAGATAAAGTTCTGAGAACTAAAGCAGGAGGTGGCAACTGTTTCTTATGTGTTTTCACACTATGCACACAAACAATGAGGAAAAGAAAATCCACCCCTACAAGTTGTTGTCTGCCTGGAGCTAAATAACAGCAAAGGGCCCTTGTGCATCTGTCTGTGTCACAGGCACCAGCACTCTCTCTCTCTTTCACACACACACACACACACACACACACACACACACACAGAGAGAGAGAGAGAGAGAGAGAGA